AAAAAAAAATTCGGAAAGGAAGGGAAAAATATCCTCATCAAAACCCCCCCCCCCCCCCACATCTACACACCCACCCAGTCCCTCCACCGCTTCCACTCATCCCACTCCAGACTAACCTTCTTACCCTGATACCTCACGACATTAATCCCTACACGCGCCCACTCGGACTTTCTGCCTCCCCAGCCCGCTTTCCGCATAAGACTCACCAGCGTCTCCTCCTTGGACCAGCCCTGCTCGCGCGCCACATCCGGGAGGTAGGTACTGCCGTACCTGCGGCCCTTATCCGAGAAGCTAATGCGTAGACCGTGGACGCCAATGTGCCAGTCGAGGGCGTCGTCGACGGGCTCAAAGTGCGTGAGAAGCGTGACTGCGCATTCGAGCGAGGCCAGTTCGTGCGCGCTGATGGGGTGGAACCGCGTGTCGTCAAAGGCAGAGGTGAGTGCGTACGACGACAGTCCGGTGGATAGCGGCAGCGGCTCAAATGTGCCGATGCAGCCGCGCAGTCGCTTTTCGTGCGAAGAGCTGGATATCGTGTTCCATGTTACGAAGAGGGGGTGTGCTTGGTCGGCGTCGTCTTCAAGATCGTCGTCGTCATCGTCAGTTGTTGCCTCTTGCTCGGCTGCCGCCTTGTCGACTAGATCCGTGCTGCTGCTGCTCTGGCTCGTCACGCTGCTGTGTGTTTCGCTGGCGCTGGGCGTCGAGCTTGCGCTTGGGAGGCTCGAAGAGCTCGATGACGACGACGGAGACGCGAGGATGCGTGAGATGGGAGCTGGTTTCAACGACGAGTCGGCGGCCGGAGCTGAGCCTGCTTCCTCGTCGACTCCGGATGCCGTGCGCTGGTATTTCGTCCATAGAGATTCCACTTTGGCGAGCGAGAGCGCAGGCCGCTTTTCCAGGCTCGCAACTAGACTCTCGAAGCAGTATGCGCAGTGTGCTTGGGTCGCCATGACGTCGGTTGGTTGGTTGGTTCGGCACGGTGTGAGAGCGGGCGTAGGAATAAGATGGGAGCGAGTTGGAATCGTCCAAAGAGAACCTAGAGGAGCACAGGTGAGAGTAAAGTCAACCTGGGTATACTTGCGACAGAAGTTGCCGAGTATGACGGTGCAAGGCGGCTGCCAACGGGATGGCTGTGCAACAAGCTTAGGAACCAGGACGAACTCCGCCTATCTGCCTCCACAGTGAGACGTGCAAGAGCGTGCAGAGCGTGTTGCTGGTATTCTACGACGCTCTTGCATCGACTCAGTAGAGGGCGATAGAGGGAGGGCGTGCTGTGATGTGGAGGTGGAGGTGCTGAGGTCACCAACATACCCCACCTGTTCGGCGGAATGCGCGTCTGGAAATCGGCATCACTTCAACCAAGCATACAACAGAGCTGCAAGTCATATGATATCGTAGAGAAAAAAAGAACTAATTCGCTAACCTCTTCAGCGAGAGACTATATGTAATGCAACATCATATTATTGCATTCTTATAAGCTGCCTCTCGGTGCTAATCCTGCTCTCAAAATTGGTATGTAACCCCATCTTCATGCACACGTGCCCTACAGGGCAAAAGGCAGTGTGTTTGGTAATGATGGGGTGAGTTGTTCTTGCCACGATGATTTTCCTTCAGCAGGTCGAGCATGGAAGAGCTCTGTTGCTGTACACACTAATGGCTGGGTTGAGATTTGCATCTCCGTCACGCATCTCACTTACCTGGCTGCATCTTGTCGCTCCGTCGGCCACTCTAACACATCACATGGACACTCGCGCGCTGGGAGGACCGAACTGACTTTTCGACTTATTCATTGTTCATGCCTGCGGTAGGCCTGAAGCCACATGCTTCCATCCCTCGAGTTCGAAGCTGTCAAACAAAGTCCGAATGCCATTGACGCCGACCGGATGTCTCATAAAGGAATCGAAAACCGCCATCGTCGCTCGCTCGTAATCGTGTCGGCCTCTATGCGCTCTCGCGCTTGCCCTCCTTGACCTCCTTCTACATGGATGTTAGCGGATCCCGAGTGCGGCAGTGCAGTGTCTCGCTGCTACGCACCAGAGCGCGCATGGTGCCGTGCAGAGCATGCCTGTGGTTCCTCCTGAACTTGGGGTCGGTGCCCTTGAGCGAGGGGTAACGGTGCGTCTTGGGTTTCTTGATACTGTAGTGCCATCAATCAGCGGGTGCTCTCAGATTCATGCATCGATGGCTTCCAATCCAGCGAGATGGGCAGTCCATCAGGGGATCATGGCGGGCGTGCGTGCGATCGATCGTGGGGAGAGATGCGTACCCGTTTCGGTGGTTCTTCTTGGACTGGTTGTGCTGAGACGAGTTCTTGGATTCTGCGCGGCTCTGTTAGTTCTCTCGCGGGCTCCATCGCGGGCGGCGTCAACGTACTGGCCATGGCGACGGTTGTGGAGGTCGATTTGGCTGTGTGGTATTGTCGAAGAGCTGAGGTTGCAAGACAGAATTTCCACTGTGGTGTAAGCGAGTGGAAAACCGCGCTAGCACGTCTTAGCGCGACCCGCAGCATCGACCATCTTTGTCGAGCAAGCCATTATGAGACCAACACCAAGTCAGAGCATGGCGGTTCAAACCAATGAATATTTCAAAATAAGCCATGTTGAATTAGAGAGACAGTGTAGCATCATACGATGCTCGCTACTTGGAAGGTGTTGTGGTGATTACCCCTGGAACTGGCTGCTGCTCCACATTTGCTTCCGAGCACCCTGAGAGCCCGGGCGCATGTTCTGCTCAGGCCATCTGCCTTCCTTTCCCCAAATAAATGCTTAGTCTCTTAGCATATCCCTACTCTTCACATGACTGTACAATCCGGTGCAGGTCTGTCAGTGTACTTGTACTTGTAGTGACTCTTATGTCTTCTTCTCTTGCTCCGCTCGTCGACATAGTACCCATGATGCCGGTTCAAATGCACGTCGTCATACTGTTGAAGCCTATTGCCGTGGAATATTGGCCCATTCGTGGCTATCGCTGGGCCAAGTGCTGCCGGCCCATATGGACCTGTGAGCCTATGATCCGAAGCAAAGCCCTGGTTTACATGGCTCGTGGGAATCATCGCGCCAGCAACGGCACCGGAAGTAATTGCAGGTCCTGCCAATCCACCTGCCATGATTTGCGCATTGCCCCATTGACCTGGAATTGCATGGTTTCCTCCGACGTGGTTTCGAATCATCTGGTTACAGCCCCAGGGTCCCTGCACCATTTCAATCGTCTCTTGGTCTGCGAAGCCGCCGTTGCATGTAGGACATGTGTACGGCGGTGCAATCAAAGTTTGATAGATCTGGCGGTGGGGACAGTTGAGAAGATCAGCGAGGAAGCCGCAGGGTTGGCTCATCGAAATCCAGGAGTGACCGCATGTTGGTGAGTCGTAGAGGGTGCATCCACACATCTCGTGTACCTGTACAGTCGATGCTTGGACGAGCCTCGGGTAATCTTAAATCAACTCTGTACTTGTAGAAACTTTGATGGTGTCACAGGAAGGATGTAAGGATACCCGCCACCCAAGCTTGCTCACGTAGGTGATTAGGCCTTGAGGCACAAATATCCTTGATGGTTCCGAAGCGACCAGAAATTGATGAAACGAGCGGACGTAGAGGATTTCGAGCATTGCAATGGAATTGTTGATATATAGTACACTCTCTTGACCGTGAATATAGCTCTTGAATGTGTGTTGTACACGTATTCGTCTTGATGTGTGAAGCCAGTAGCGTTTGTCTTCGAACAACGGTTGTTTGGCAAGATTCCATGTTGCCATTATTGATCCTTTGGGGGCTTCTTGTCGAGCATTCCAATTACTCTTGCATCTTCGGCATCCGCATCCTCCTGTGATTGGTTCTTAATCTGCTTCATAAGCTCATATAGCTGGCCGATTTGTTGATCTGCAAGCCAATTAGCAGAGCCTCATGTAAAGGAAGCCAGAACATGCCGCTCATCTTATCAATCTTCGCCTTGTCCATCTTGGCGTCTTTCCACGAGTCTCCTTCTAGCATCTGGCAGTACATTTGCCACTCCGACAAAAAGCCAATCTGTGAATGTCAGCGCATTGACAACGCGATACGCGTTTCGCAGCAAAAGTGTGACCCACGATTTGTACGGGGTTGTCGACATTTCTGTGAGCCCTAAACTCGGCCTTCACATACATGTCGCCCAATAAGCGTTCCTCTAAACCTAGCCTCTTTCGATGCGACCGCAGCAGACGTCGGTACAGTGGAATTGGTGGCAATAAGGCGGCTGGCGCTGGCCTGAAAGGCTTCGATGCACCTGCATCTGTTGCAGACGCCAATAATCGCGTACAAGCCCTCATACTGCCCAATTTCGTGCAGAAGATGCGTAAGGTGATGTGGCGGAGGAAATGTGATTGCACTCAAGAAGTGATGACCTCAGCCTCGGCTTTCTCGACTAGGGTGCTTCAGATCTCCTCTCAATCCAATTGGCTCACACGCACAACTCCGATCTCCAGACAAAATCGCAACCATGCTGCCCACTCCCTCGACCTCCCACGTCTGCTTCGACCGCGTGTACGAACCGGCTGAAGACTCGTACCTGCTGCTCGATACACTGTCGTCCGTATCAGAAACTGCATATTTGCACGATCGATTCGGTCATGACTCTTCAACCCCGCCACTGGTGCTCGAAGTGGGCGTAGGATCGGGCGTCGTCCTAGCTTTTGTTGCTGCAAATGCGCGAACTATATTCGGCCGACATGATGCGCTGACGCTTGGGGTTGATATCAACAGCTTTGCCTGCAAAGCTGCTGCCCAGACTGTTCGCAATGCAATTCAAGAACAAGAAAATGGGCGCTCCGTCTTCATGGATGTTGTAAACGGCGATTTGGCGAGCGCTATCCGGCCAAAGTCTATCGACGTCTTCATCTTCAACCCGCCATATGTCCCAGCTGAGCTGCCCGATCTGGCAAGCCATGAGAAGTACAACGTACTACCAGAGGGAAAAAATGCTACCTCATTCGAGCAAGACTCGTACTTGTTGGAGCTTTCGTACGCTGGAGGTGAAGATGGCATGGTGGTCACGAATAGGATGTTGGAACAGATTCCAGAGATCCTGAGCACCGATAGAGGGGTTGCATACGTACTGTTATGCGCGCAGAATAAGCCCGAGGTAGTCAAGCAGAGAATAAGAGATTGGGGTTCTGGTTGGATGGCAGAGACTGTAGGGTCGAGTGGCAAGAAGGCGGGCTGGGAGAAGCTGGTGATTGTGAGGATATGGCGCATTAAGGATTGAATTTGGAATATGGCTGCAATACTGAGCGGCGATACATGCGGCCTCCTTGCTAGCTTTATGAGTTGGCATCCAACTTGGCTCACATGCTTACCAGAGCCACCTTTCCATCGATCTTTCAGTATGTTCCTTTGGAAGCAAGGCCTACACCGTACAAAAATCGTTCAAGCTTGGTTGCTTGGCTGACTGAGACCTGAGAATTGTCTCATCCAGCCTTTTCTTCTATCACTGTACCAATGGTACTTTGAACTTACGTCAAGGCTTTGTCTCCTTGTGTGGATAGTCGAAGACCCCAATCATACGATCTATCTCTTTGGATATCACCGAGTATCTTTGGCGGTAGAAGCGGTGTCATCCCCGAGTTTGGACTACTGTTACTCCAAAAAGAATCAGAGTGGCAATCTTTGTCAGACTGAGATTTGGCTGGTGATGGCATGTTTAGAATTCCAGTCATCGAGTTTCCAGACAAGAGTACTGGTGCTCTTGGTCACTTAGAATAGCCACTATTTGCTGTATCTGGAGTCAAATTATGTTTGGGCATCATTGCGCTAGGGCAACTATTGCAAAGGAACGTGAAATTGCTAGTGAAGACCAAAACTATTGACGCTGAAGATGTAAAGAGTGGCCAGTTCCAGGAAGCCGTAGATTGCTTGTATAGGGTTGACTGCCGTCGCGACTATAAAGCACTTATTATAACCAACTCTTGCAACTACGATATATACTTCGAAAGCATGACACGGTATATGTTCATGATGCAGCATGACTGCTTCATGGTTAAGGTAGCGTTAAAATGGAAAAAAGGACCTGATTAGCCCCCCTTGCAAAGAGGAGTCATTGTATGGTACCAAAGAATGATATGTGAAGTGCTTTGGAATTCACATAACCATTACTGCCGTAACATGTTCTGTAATGTACACATTCTTATACACATGCTGTGACCAGCGCTCAACACTTTTCGTACCCCTCTTTGCCATAAGCTACCAGAACTTGATATTTTTTTGGTACCAGTATGACCAGCTCCTCTTTCTCTCATCTTCTGCTCTCTGCTCCCTTTCCAGTCGGTCCTGCTCTTCCCTTGCTCTCCGTCTGGCCTCCTTCTTCGCCTCAATACTCGCGCGCTTCTTCTCCATGAGTTCTTGTGCTTGTTTTATACCGGCCTTTTCCTTGGAGCGGTAGTACTGGCAGACTTGGTAGGAAATGACAGAAACACCGCACCATGTTGCTACTGCCCAATTCGAAGCTGTGATTACCGGCTCTGTTCTGATGTTAGCATTCTGCCCTGCCCCACCCCCCCTCGACTTGAAGCGCATCCGAAGATACGAGTCATATTGACGTACTGCCTATTATAGCTGCTAGGCTTCCTCCTGCAAAACCAGCTGCTAGCCCTTGCAATTGACTGTCTCGCACACATGGTCGCTTGTGAAAGTTGAGGTAATATTCCGGGCCCAGGCTTCGCACCGCGTCGATGTATGTAGGGCCAGCGTCCGATGGCTTCTCGCCGCCTGCTGTATGTGCGGTGCCACCAGGCATGATATTTGCAGGCGCGCGGGGCTTTGGTGGAAGCGCATTTGCGTCGACTGTTTGCCTCGTATCGTCGGACATGGTGGTGGGATGAATGTGCTATTCGTGTCGGGCGGGCGGGTAGAATTCGCAATTGGTATGTGGGTAACGTGGATAGAAGGACACGGCGTAGTAGCGCAGTCACTATGGCTTCGTTTGGTGCGCGAGTGGGTTGCTGTCTGCTCACTTTCTGGTGCTGCGGAATAGGCCCGAAAATATCCAGCATGCATGATACCATGACATGTGCACAGCCACAGGCTGTGGCTGAAATCAATTTGCCGAGAAGGGGAAAGCGCAGAACACGCTCCAGCGCGTCGCGTCCGGGCATTTGCAGATCCGCCCTGCGACGCTTCAAAGTCCCTCCACACTACACTCTCCCCCTGCCAATTGCTGATGCCCAGTCGCTTCCGTCTTTCCACCACCCAAATGATACCCTGGTTTGCATAGTTAGCATATTTAACATCTAATACTCTTTTACCTTCCACCTCCACTGCACAGTATGGCGCCGCGACGCGCAGGACAGCCCTTCCGCCGGGTAGGCAAGATGGGCAACGCATCGTACGGCCCACGCAAGCCCAAGACGGTTGACGCCTCAACATTACGGAGCGGAGAAGCGATGTCACAGAATGAAAAGGTGGAATCGACACGCCTGGCGCACCGCATCGACGAGACCATGGGCTTCGCACGTTTCGATTCGGGAAAGAAGAAAGTAGGATGGCTCGTCAACATGCACTCGACAACAATCGAAGACGAAGACGTTCCTGGCGGCAGAGCCGGAGTTGACTATTACTTCATTGGCGACGAAGGTGACACGTTCAAAGCAACGCTCGAGTACGACCCCTACTTTCTCCTGGCGGTCAAGAAAGGCAGGGAACAAGACGTGGAAGAGTACTGTAAAAGAGCATATGAGGGCTTGGTGAAGACGGTGAAGATCATACAGAAGGAGGACCTGAGCATGCCAAATCACCTCACCGGGTACCGGAGAAAGTTTTTGATGCTTACCTTTGCCAACGTGAACGATCTTCTGGCTGTCCGGAAAGCTGTTGCCCCAATAGTGGAGAAGAACAAGAAGAATATCAACGCCATGGACACATATGCCGAGGTCGCCAAGTAAGTCTGAATGGTGCTTCACGTGGCACATCGCTAACACGACCCAGTGGCAACGGTGCCTTTGACTTCTTCGATAACGACGATTACGAATATGAGAAACGACTTACGACTACCGTTGATGCCAGCGATTTCATTCTAGACATTCGGGAATACGACGTGCCCTACCACGTACGAGTGGCCATTGACAAGGACGTTCGAATTGGAAACTGGTACACGGTTGAGGCCAAGCATGGCGTAATAAGCATAACCTGTATAGAGGACCGCCTTACACCGGCAGATCCTGTCGTGATGGCGTACGATATCGAGACAACGAAGCTCCCATTGAAGTTTCCCGACGCGGCGATCGATCAGATCATGATGATATCGTACATGATTGATGGCCAGGGGTTTCTGATCACGAATCGTGAGATAGTTTCAGAAGACATCCAGGACTTTGAGTACACACCAAAGCCGGAATACCAGGGTCCATTCATGATCTTCAACGAACCAGACGAAAAAGCGGTCCTGGAAAGATTCTTCGAACACATCAAGGAAGCCAAACCCACGGTCATGGTCACATACAACGGAGATTTCTTCGATTGGCCCTTTGTTGAGGCAAGAGCTAGTGTGCAAGGCATTGACATGTACCAGGAGATTGGGTTCAGGAAAAACAGCGAGGATATCTACCAGTCCGACTACTGTGCACACATGGATGCCTTTGCTTGGGTTAGTCGAGACAGTTACCTTCCTCAAGGAAGTCGTGGTCTCAAGGCTGTCACGATGGCCAAATTGGGCTACGACCCTGATGAACTCGACCCCGAACTGATGATGCCATACGCAGCTGAGCGACCGCAGACTCTTGCAGAATATTCCGTTTCCGATGCCGTTGCGACCTACTACCTGTACATGAAATATGTCCACCCCTTCATCTTTGCCTTGTGCAAAATCTTGCCACTCGGACCAGACGATGCGCTGCGCAAGGGTACCGGTACTCTGTGTGAGATGCTGTTGATGGTGCAAGCATATCAAAAAGGAATCGTACTACCAAATAAACATCAGGCACCGAAAGAGGCCTTCTGGGACGGCCATTTGCTTGAGTCAGAGACTTATGTTGGAGGTCACGTCGAGGCGCTGGAAGCTGGCGTGTTCCGAAGCGATATTGCATACAACTTCGCCGTCGACCCTACAGCTATCGATGAACTGATGAACGATCTCGACGCTGCCCTCAAGTTCAGTATCGAGGTGGAAGAGAAAAAGAAGATGGAAGACATTATCAACTACGACGAAATCAAGGCTGAGATTGTTGAGAAGCTGATGCAGCTCAAGAACACACCAAACCGTAGCGAGCGACCTCTGATCTACCATTTGGACGTTGCATCCATGTATCCAAATATCATGACCACGAACAGATTGCAACCTGACTCTATGATCAACGAGTCAAATTGCGCAGCCTGCGACTTCAACCGTCCCGGAAAGACATGCGATCGCCGGATGCCGTGGGCCTGGAGAGGAGAGTATCTTCCAGCCAAACGCGACGAGTACAACATGGTGCGCAACGCACTAGAAAACGAGCAATTCCCAGGAAAATATCCAAACTCGCCGAAGCGGACGTTTCAAGAACTTTCCGAGGATGAACAGGCTGCTCTGGTCCGAAAGCGTTTGACAGACTACTCCAAGAAGATCTACCACAAGGTTCACGATGCAACGACAATCGAGCGCGAGGCCATCATCTGCCAACGAGAGAACCCATTCTATGTTGATACTGTGAGCGGTTTCCGTGACCGACGATATGACTTCAAGGGCAAGCAGAAAGTGTGGAAAGGCAAGACGGAGGCGTTAAAAGCGGCTGGTGCTCCAGCATCTGAGATTGAAGATGCGAAGAAAATGATTGTCTTGTTCGACTCGATGCAGCTGGCCCACAAGGTTATTTTGAACTCCTTCTACGGATACGTCATGCGAAAAGGATCCCGCTGGTACTCTCTGGAGATGGCTGGTGTTACTTGCCTGACTGGTGCCCGTATCATTCAATTGGCTCGCTCTCTTGTAGAGCGAATAGGTCGACCTTTAGAGTTGGACACTGACGGTATCTGGGCTATCCTACCGGCGACTTTCCCAGAGAACTTTTCCTTCAAGCTTCGCAACGGCAAAAAGCTCACCATTTCTTATCCTTGCACCATGTTGAACCATCTGGTACACGCACAGTATACCAATCACCAGTACGAGACATTGGTAGATCCAGTGAATTTCCGGTACGAGAAGCACAGCGATAACTCCATCTTCTTCGAAGTCGACGGCCCTTACAAAGCTATGATCTTGCCTACGTCGAAGGAGGAGGACAAGAATTTGAAGAAGCGTTATGCAGTGTTCAACCACGACGGTAGCTTAGCTGAACTGAAAGGTTTCGAAGTGAAGCGTCGTGGTGAGCTGAAGCTCATCAAGAACTTCCAGGCTCAAATCTTCAAGTTTTTCTTGGAAGGTACCACACTCGAGGAGACATACTCTGCGGTTGCCAAGGTAGCGAACCGATGGCTTGATATCCTGGACACGCGTGGAGCAACATTGGCTGATGAAGAGTTGATTGATCTCATTGTCGAGAACAAGAACATGACAAAGACACTGGAGGAGTACGGTTCACAGAAGTCGACTGCCATTACAACCGCTAAGCGTCTCGCCGAATTCTTGGGCGAGCAAATGGTGAAAGACAAGGGATTGAACTGCAAGTACATCATCTCCAAGACACCGAGAAACGCGCCTGTCACTGAGCGTGCTGTTCCCTTGTCTATATTCTCAGCTGAGGAGTCAGTGAAACGATACTTCTTGAGGAAGTGGCTGCGAGACGACCCAGGAGAGATGGACATCCGGTCAGTATTGGACTGGGATTACTACCGCGAGCGCCTGGCTTCCGTTATCCAGAAACTCATTACTATCCCTGCAGCGTACCAAAAAGTTCGAAATCCCGTTCCTAGGGTGCCCCATCCCGAATGGCTTGACCGTAGGATTCGTCAAAAGGAAGACAAAATGCAGCAGACGAAGATGACGGACATGTTCAGCAAGAAGGTACTCACGAACGGTGATGCTAATGTCGCGAACAACAAGCTCAATGGCGATCTTGAGGACTTTGGATCGGCAAAGTTGACTCAAAACCAATCCCAAATGAAGAAGGGAATCGTTACCAAGATGGTTGCGAAGCGTAAAGAACCCGAACCTGCTGTACCAATCGTCGATCCCTACGCTGCATTGCCTAAAGTCATGCCAAGTATTGATGAAGACTACTCCGGTTGGTTGGTGTATCAGAAACAAAAGTGGAAGATCCAACGAGAAGCACGAAAGCGCAGACGGCAACTGTTCGGAGAGAAGGCGGTTGATTCATCGGACGCAATTGGTAGCTTCTTCAGGAATCAGGCGCAATCCCTCTTCATCAGCACATGGCAACTTGTACAACTACGGCCGACAGAAACACCTGGAGAGGTTAGAGCTTTTGTTCTCATCGACAAGAAAATTCATGCCCTCAAGATCATCGTACCACGACAACTATACCTCAACCTGAGGAGCGAGGATCTTCCGGATGTGTCCATCAGTGGTTGCTCTGTGGAAAAGGTTGTCAACCATACCTTGCCCAATGGCCATCCTTCTATTCATCTATTCAAGCTTCAGATGTCAGAGGAGACGTACGTTCACGAAGCAGACAGCATGTCGGCTCTGTTCAATCACTCCAGCGTCGAAGGTGTGTATGAAAAGCAAGTACCACTGAATATCCGGGCTATACTTGAGCTTGGAAGCATATGCACATTCGACGAATCCCAGAAGGGTGTTCTTGGAAAAGGTCTCGAGCAAGGTTTCGACCTCTCCGCGCTCCGAAAAGTGTCAACCAAAGAACTGTACCTCGCTGAAGCGCCTTTCAACTACATCTACCTGTACCATGTCACCAGCGGAGATCGAAACATCTATGCAGTATTTTCAACTTCGAAGAGCGATGCGCACATAATCATCCAGAACAAGACAAAGGACACTCAGGGCATGCCAAATGTTGACCGTATCTATCGCGATGCTCTACAACGACGGATGGAAGACAACAACGGTGAACCATGGCAGACCATGATTGAGTACCAGGAGGACATTCACTTCAAGACGACAACAGTGACGACCAAGCGCAAGGCTCTCCTCGAGATAGGCGATGTTATCAAGAGGATGAAAGCAGAAGAGACTGGTCCAATCATTGTCGTTGTGCAATCGCCAAATCAGGCTCTTCTCTCGCACGATGTTCCAACTCTGAAAGACCTGCCCATCTTGTCGCTTAACCCAGATGAATCTGACAAGCAATTGCCACCACTAGGCTGGCAATCCTTCATTGCTAAGCGGTTGGTAGGACACTATCTGGATCTTGGGTCTTGGGTCGCACATTTACTGGAGCTGGCTCGCTATGGAGATGTCCCGCTCTGCAACCTCGAGAGCAACGATCCACGCTTCCTTATTGACGTAGCGTACGCCCGACGGCTACAGAAAGACCGTGTGATATTGTGGTGGTCTGGCCAAGCAAAGCCCGATCACGCTGGATACGAGAAGGATGATATCCTTGGGCCTCTCGAGACTGTGGAAATGCCTTCCATCAATAACCCAGGCACCTACTCATCTGTGTGCATCGACATCAATCTCCGCAACCTTGCTATCAACACCATCCTGTCATCATCTCTTGTCAATGAGCTTGAGGGCGCAGATTCCGTTTCCTTTAACCCTGCTGCGCCATCTTATGATTCAGCTAATGATGGCTCCAATGTCATCTACTCAGACAACGCTTTCGCAAGCGCAGGTATTCTGGTCCTTCGGGAGATGGTGAAGGCTTGGTGGGTCGAAGCTGTCCAGGCTGGTCACGGCTTTAGTATGGCCGATGTCATAGTCCAGCATCTTGTGCGCTGGGTCAGCAGTCCTGGGTCCTTCCTCTACGACCGCTCTCTACATTACTATGTTCAGATGATGTCGAAGAAGACATTGCAGCAACTCATGACAGACTTCAAGCGAGTGGGCTCACATATTGTCTTTGCCAGCCCAAACCGCCTCCTTCTCCAGACCACCAAAGCTGAAATTGGGAATGCATACGCCTACAGTCAGTACATCATCAAGACCATCAAGACCAAGCCACTATTCCAGTTCATGGAGCTGGAAATCAAGGAGTACTGGGACTATCTGGTCTGGTACGATGAGTTCAACTACGGAGGCAAGGGCTGCAACAAGGTGACGGAAGATGAGAATCAACCGGTGGAAAACATCATGTGCTGGCAGCTTGCGCAGTTCTTACCACCAAAGTTCCAGCCCACCTTCAACGAATGGGTGATCGAGTTCATTGAGCTTATGCACGCACGTAAACGCCCAGCTATCCCTGAAGATGGCTCGACACCGCGGGTAACTCAAATTCCTCTCCGACCGCTCACCGTGGATCCAAACGAGCAAACACAGATACTGCCCAAGTCTTTCACGAAGCCCCTGTCCAAGCAAATGAATGCTTTTGCGAAGAAGCAGCATGCAGAGATTCTGGACCCTCTATTCACATCCGACTACGTCTTCCCAGAGCTCCCAGGTTCGCACCTCAAGCTCACAAACCCGGTCCTCCAACTTGTCAAGAGCATCATGCAAGTCCTCAGTCTGGACCGTGCGATATCACTCGAAGCACGTGCACTACGAAAAGAGTTGCTGAACCTCTTCGACATCCGCGAGTTCAGTGCAGAAGCCTCATTTACCAACCCCAGCGCCGCGCTCGTTGTTCGAGGCGTCATCTGCGACGACTGCACATCCTCACGCGACCTGGATCTCTGCCGCGACTCCTCCCTTCTTCCCGTCGTTCTCCCCGACAGCGACGCGGCCCCAGTACTACCCAAATGGAAATGCGACAACTGCGAGGCCACATATGACAAACGGCGTATCGAAGAGCAACTCGTAGGCGAGGTACAGAAAATGGTCCTCGAGTGGTGCACGCAAGATCTCAAGTGCGCCAAGTGCAAGAGGCTGCGCAGCAACGAGTTCATGGAACACTGTGCTTGTGCAGGAGAATGGGTAGCTACGAAGAACAAACCTGAAATCAAAAGACGGTTGGGTGTCTATGGCAATGTAGCTCGGTTCTACGCCCTAGGCATGTTGGAAGCTGTTGTAGAAGAGTGCTTGTCGAGTTTCTAGACGCGTTAGCAAGATAAGTACATGCATATTGGTTTTATCAAGAAGCGCATCGGTCCTATTACTGTCGTTTATAGTTTTAGTCCACGAGCGAATGGGTGGAATAAGCAGTAAAAACAAAAGTGTATTTCGCAGGTGTGTATATTTATTAATCTTGACCTTCTTTATCTTTCAACGGCCTTGTTTGCACTTGTCGGCGTCACTCGAAGTGTATCTTTATCGCGCTCAAGTGGGGGGTAAGGAGGGGGGGGAAGTAGCTCCGCATTCGTACCGCAGCGCATCTTGTTTATTCCGACGTCCACCCATCAGTCAGCTTGACGTGAAATGCGGCCGCATCATGCCCGCATGTCCCTCTTTGGTGCTGTTTTCCCTGGCAAACAAACAAACAAACAAACAAAAGGCCCATTCAGTACGCATGCGGTGCTATGGGCGATAAGATGCGATTACGGGGGGGTGTGTTGCTTTCTTACTGGGCCACGAAAGAGACAAGGCGGCATGTTGGAGTTAAAGTTGGAGAGAGGGGGCGGGGGGGGGGTTCTTGCGTCAACGGTGCCCTGGGATACGTGCGAGCACGTCATTTGAGCCTAATCTGTTGCCAACGGGAGCAGAGATACCCGGGCGCTGGGCACTACCCGCGCAGTACAACGGCTGCTACGCAGAGTCGGTGATACGAGCGCCTGTTGAGTTCATCGGAGGGGAAAAAGGACTCGGGATCATCAGTCTTGGAAGACCAGGGATATCGTAGACTTGCATCGTATAAATAGGATAAGGTGATTACTTCGCGCGTCCTCTTTTTTTCCTCCTTACTCTTCAATATCACGTTTTCTGCTGCCTTCGATAAAAGACGTGTGAAATTGAGGGGTATTTTTGGGTTTATCTTCCGCCTGATTATTACTGTCTTTCCGGGCCTCTTTCACTCTGACCAAAAAAAACAGATTCCAACATGGCGCCGGCTCTGACAGCCCCCGCACCCTCAGCCCCTCACACCCTCTCTGCCAACGCCAAGTTATCAAAGACTCTCTTCCCAGACGGACTCCTTACCTCTGGCCAGCACGAGCCCATCTACGAGCTGCTCCACCCCTACAGTTCGTTCCCCAAGTCCATCTCGGGCCCAACCGCGTGGAACGCCGCCGACTATGCATCCAACCCCGAGCGCTGGACACATGTCTTCTCGGCATCTGAGATATCAGAAATCAGCTCTGCAGCCGACGACTTCATCAACAGCGGAGTGCCGCTGACGGGCATTACGTCTGAGAAATTCCCACTGCCCGAGTTCTCGCGCTTCCTGGCGCCGCTGCGCAAAGAGCTGATTGACGGCAAGGGATTCATCCTGTTCAAGGGTTTGCCCGTGCAGGAATGGGGAAACAAGAAGTCTGCCGTTGCGTATATGGGGCTGGGCACGTATCTTGGGTATTTCGTGAGCCAAAATAGTCGCGGCCATGTGTTGGGACATGTCAAGGACCTGGGTGAGGACGCGACTGCGATTGATAAAGTGAGGATTTATCGGACGAATGCGCGTCAGTTTTTCCACTCGGATGATGCCGACTTGGTGGGTTTGCTGTGTGTGGCCAAGGCTCTTGAGGGCGGCGAGAGTGATCTTGTAAGTTGGAGCCGCTTCTCAATCTCTTTCCCCTTGTTTTACTAACAATGTTATAGGTCAGTAGCCACCGAGTGTGGAACGATCTTCAGGAAAACCATCCCGATGTTGCAGAGCTCCTTACACAGCCAATCTGGTACTTTGATCGCAAGGGCGAGACGAGTAAAGGACAGAAAGAGTGGATCAAGACAGCAATCTTTTACCTTGAAACAGGTGAAAATCCCAGAGTATACAGCAAGTAAGTCTCCCATGAGTAGAAGACTAGCAAAGCAGAAGTTGACCAAGAATAGATGGGATCCATACTTTGTCCGCTCTCTAACCCGCTTCTCGGACGCTGGTCTGATTCCTCCTCTTTCTGATGCTCAACAACGCGCTCTTCAGATCCTGGAAGACACGTGCCAGAAACTGGCTCTGCACATGATTTTGGATGTAGGCGATATCCAATTTCTGTCGAATAACCATGTATTCCACGCGAGAACGGCATACAAGGACTATGCACCGCCAGCACCGCGGAGGCACTTGATGAGGTTGTGGTTGAGTACGCCAGAAGGAGAGGGTGGATGGAGACTGCCGTTCCACGATAGCCATGAAAAGAAGAGGGGCGGCATCCAGGTCGATGATACGCCGCCAGTAGCGCCTGAAGATGCAGAATAGAATGTACATAACTTCGATAGTATGCCGATTTCTAGATTTCCTAGCTTGTCTGCAGTGTGTGAGCATGCGACCAGAAGAGCACATATACACCAACTGCAAGTGCCAAGGCCCGCGCTTCAAAGTGGTATCATTCTCCTTTCGAGGTGCAGCTTTGCACCATTCTTGAACTGCCAAACGCCATGCATGCTATACCATCTGTGCAATTACCACCCGATCCAAAATCATCCTATCGCGCTTCCTTTCGGGGTCGCGTGCGAGCCACTTGCGCATACTTTGGTGATGCCGAATCCTACATGCGCTGGCTTCGATTGTGCCACGACTTTTTATCCGGTACAATTGCGTCATTGTATCTTTTGCATCCTGAGAGTTATCCTTGGACCTAGAAGCCCCGTCCACGTCCTCGGCCACCGCCACCTCTTCCGCGACCGCCTCCACGTCCTCGGCCACCTCCGCGGCCACCTCCCCTTCCACCACGGTCACCACCAGCAACCTCTTTCCTCGCTTTGTTCTTAGGCTTTGGCGCATCGTCAATGAGAAGTGTGTCAAGCGGTAATGAGTCGGGAAGAATGATGTAGCGAATCGTGGAACCGCGAACAGTCATTGTGTCGAGCGCTACGGTGTCGCGAGATTTGGGCGTGTACTTGACCGCTCGGAGTGCGACGTTCATGAGCGGCGAGACGGAGGTGATGGTGCCGTTTACGATAGTGCCTGGGTATTGTTGGAACTCGTGTCATTGTGGTATAGAATGGAAACCTTTCAGAGACAGACCGCCTGCTCGCGCGACTCCAGATGGGACGCGCCCAAAAGCCGAGTATCCGTCGCCGAGTGTTGACCTGACAAAGGAAGAAACCGGGGCTAAAGTCTGTTTACTTACCATTCTTGAGTTCGACCGTGACAGTCTCATTCTGGCATTTCATAAGAAACCTGCGCGAAGCCGTTAGCAGCAATTCACCGTCTTGTTCCGGGCTGCCATACCTGACGAGCTTCATGTTTGCTGTTTTTGCGTTTGTGCGACAATAGCGGTTGTAGTATGAGTCTGTATATGTGCAATTAGAGGTGATTTGTAGCGATGTTGCTGCTTTGCGAGGGTAGACTCGCGGGGAAGCTCCGACTAGGAAATTGCGATGGAGCTTCCCAGGCTACACACGCATCATAGTTGATCCGGCCCGTTGTCACGTGCATGCGCCGTCACCCTGTCACAATCAACAGTGTTGAGCCAAATACAATGTTAGAAATACTGCAACATATGGGAAAGTTTTCGATTTCAAACTAAAATACATAGTGTTTGATACTACACAACACTGGATTAGGGTATCATCTACACGTAGGGCGTATGCAGTTACGGCTCCTTCAGTTGGTCGAAGGAGCAAGTGTCCCATTCGTTTTGCAATTCGTGCTCCATCAAATTTCCACCGATTTAAATGATTCTTCAAGAGGTTGGATCAGTAGTTTGCGCAGAAGCATCCCCATGATGCCGCCCATGATTCTGATTATTGCCTGACTTGTATCTCGGCTTGGATGGCTCTAGCCATACGTGTTGTTGGGTAGAAGCAAGATCAGTCATCATAGCTTCTTGCATCTCATCGCCGGAAGATTGAGATGTTGATTCCATGGGAATGTGCTGGATTGGCTGGTGTGTAACATCAAAGCTGTACGTCTCCTTCAGGTATTTGGCGATACCTTTGTTCTCCTCTTCAGTGCCATTGCCGTAGTGACGCTTCAACTCTTTTGCTATGAGTGTATCGAGGATGAGTCCTTCGTTGAGAGGCTTTGTGGCCTGTTTGTTGCTATTGTCTTGCTTTGGTAGGCTGACCGTAGCATCCCAGTGTAGACCTATAGCAGCAAGTCTATCCTCCCGCGACCATGCTGTAGCACGTAATGGAGTTTTCTGGACAAATTGCTTGACACGGCCCTCAAGATCTTCCCATTCAACGTTCCAAGAAAGCCAAGGCTCTATCATCTCTTCAACGGCACGACGGAAATCTCCGAATTGCCTGGCAGAGTAGAACAGATGTTTGATCTTGGCTATCAGAAACTCCACATCCATTCCTGTAATAGTAGGATTGACGCGTACTCGACGTAATGCTTCGCACCAGTCCATGTGGATTTGCTTTCGGAACTCAGTTTGCGAATAGTATTGTAGGCGGCTGAGGATCCGGCGGAGCACAACACGAAGTTCTTCTTGTGTCACTTCCCCAGTAATGTCTATCGCTAAGGCATCAAAAAGTGTAGGGTGGCTTTGTGTAAGCAGGCGCGAGCGACATTTCTTGAAATGCAGATGAGCCTCTTTCTTTTCGCCTATGGCTACCATTGCATCTTCCAAGGGTTTCTTCAAAGCTTCTGGATAACTCATCTTGCGAAGATGTTCTCGGAGACGATGTTCAATCTGTTCGACTTTCTGAATATCTTCTGTTGTGCCGTCTGCATGGCTCTTTTGTGGCTCAAAAGGTGGTGCCAAATTAGCAGCCCGCAGGGGGCTCATGATGTCGCTAGGCAGCAAATCTCTGCTGTTAGGGCTGACGCCCAGATTATGCAAAAACATCCGGTAGTGCTGTGATAGGAAGCGCGAATCGCGTGCAATCAACTTCTTTGCTCGCCTCACGACCTGATCTCTCATAGATGGCGTCAACGGTCCGTAAAAGTCGCTCAGCACCTGTTGACCTTGAAGTCCAGGCCTGATTCTATCGGCGAGCCCCATTTCCTTTCTGCATTCTCCAACAAGAAGTTCTATGCTGATACCAAAGTTCGCTGCAGCATACGGCAGATTGGCATCAATGGTGCGATAGACATCTCTTGAAGGCTTTTCATAATAAGCTGGATCTGATTTGATCATATCCTTGATCTCTTTCAGATATTGCTGGCGCTCCTTCTTGCCTGGAAACAAAGGGAATTGCCACACCGACCAGACACGGTCAGTGGTGGTAGTTGTTTTGGCGTTCACAGAGGAGAATATAATGTTGCCTTTGGGACTCCGATAGCCCCTATCGATGTAAACAATGGCCTGATGGTCCTTGGAAACCTTTTGCTCTATATCGTTGACCTTTGCGACGAGGATAACATGATCTGCAACCCGAAACTCATGAGTGACTTTGCATTCCATTGCAGCCAATACGAAGTCATTCATTATTTGCGGCGCGGCAGAGCGCGTGGTGCTAGGATGCTTTCTGTCTTTGGGTTGATAGAGTTTCAGCATCTTGGTTCGTATGTTATAGGCATCGGCGTGGTTTCCCCGACTGAAGAGGTCCACCAAGCCGGCGCCGCCTCGATGGGCCGCGGGAAAATGTACACGAAAAAGGCCGTTTGCAGCCCTTATAGCATCCAAGGTCTGGGAAGGCTCCTTGATGTTGAACGAAATGGTGGGCGGGTCCAGGGTAACAGTACTGAGCGACGAGACAGCGACACCCATTGGTACATGCAGTCTGGTCGCAGGGTCGATGTGGGCGACAGTAATGATGGCGACCGAGCTAGGCACTTTGCGCATTAATTGACGCACTGAATCTTTCAGTTCAGCCTGCTTCAGCTCCGTATCTGAGAGTTCAGGTAGAGTGTCCTGCTCTTCAGCGCTTGGCTGTGTGCTTGCAATTCCCTCCTGTATGTTGTCCCCTGGCTGTAGTATATGTATTGCCGCGGCGCCTGATGCCCCTCGAGCATCATTGCCAGAATTGGCAATGGATTCATCCTGCACTTGCGACTCAGCTTGACTTTGTTGGAGGAAACGAGTCGTGTGGTAATGCTGCGGGATGCAAATGCCGCTCCGATGATTTTTACTGTTCGAGGCACATAAACGTGTGTTTCCTGCCTTGGTGTCAATTGTGGCTCGTTTCCAAGCGTCTGAGCAATCTCACGGGTGTGTAATTCCCATCTGTAGAAGGCCGCAAAGAAGCGGGATGCCGAGCGCTGCGCAAGCGCCATTGTCAATGTAAAGCCCGACTCTTTCTATCGCATGTGCAATTCGTACTCCGAGCTGCTCAAATCGAAGCCTGGCTCGAGTTGCGGAGATAAAAGCTGTGGGCGAGGCGAATGACGTTGGTTCGCGCAGACAAGAATTACCTACTGGGATGTCGGAAATATTAGCGCCGCTTAAACCTCCGTCTCTTCTCCGCAACTTTCGTCTCGACCCCCAAGACTACCCCAACACACACCACCGCGATGGCGTCCCCGGTACCCTCAATGGGCGCACTGCGCGCTCTCCGCCAATCGATTCAGCCACAGATAAAGCAAACAACCCAAGTGCGACACGCGACACTCCTGCGCCGACCCAAGCGACCCTACACCTTCACCCAGCTTATAACCCTCTCCGACGGAAGCTCCTTCACTCTACGGACGACCAACCCACAGCCTGTATACAAGAGCGCAAAAGACATACGGAACTCGCCGCTATGGAACCCGAGTTCGCAAAAGCTGTTGAACGTAGAGGAGGACGAGGCAGGAAAATTGGCCGCCTTCAGAGCCAAGTTTGGGCGAGGATGGGATGCCGAGAGGGATGCTGATAAGGTGCGTGGTGCGCTGCGCCGAAAAGTATATCCATTCTCTAACATTTTCATACAGGGAAAGCAGACGGAAGACCATCTTCTAGATCTCATTAGCAGTCATGGCAAACCCCCGGGCTCACCAACCGATGCCACCAAGGCCCCGCCTGCAAAGGCGCCCGCATCAACACCAGCCAAGCCAGCAGCGAAGAAATAAGAAACGTTATAGGAAATAGACAGATATTACATCCCAGGACACGTCTGTACAGTACGCCACATGAAGGTGTCAAATTTTATGGAAATGCGAAATGCCCCACGTGCGTATGGCACGCACCATAGCATTCATTGAAACATGTTCCGACTGTAGTTGATTGCTCCATTGTTAACTATCTGCAATGTCTCACGAGTTTGTGAGACATGCCGAAGACTCACAGCTAGGCCATGTGACGCTCGCGTGTCATGTCCACCGACCTTTGTGAGACTCACACCTTCCCCTGCCTTCTATGCGCTCGAACTGCAAACTATAACAACACCCATTCATACCATCCACATTGCGCTACATAGGTTACTTCCCCCCCCCTCTCAAACTAACACTATAGCAAAGCCACCCAGCACCGACTCCAAAGCCACCACAGCACATCACGAGAAGAACAGCAACGCCAAAGATTCAGCCTCACACGTCAATATGGCTCCCGGTGCAAAGCCGAATCACCACGGCAAAGGCTGGGAGATGATGGATTACTCCCCTGTGCCCTCCGCCCTTATTATCGGCGATCCCACCGCTCCAGAGAACATAATCCACGGCAAGAGGCGTCGAAAAGCAGTGAGAATTATCGAAGCGCAAACGGGAAAAGTATCACGTACATCCAAGATCAAGGACAACGGCTGCATCAAGAAAGCAGAGGCTAAGGCCAGGACCAGACGCTCCGCCAAGGTACCAGCACCAGCGCGCAGGGAGAAGACAACACGAGCTTGCACTCGCGACGAAGCAACCGCAGCGGATGTTCTTCGCTCGAGCATTCTGCGTCTTGTAAACCAGTCTCTTCAAGTCGCGGAGCATGTTGCTTCGTACATGGCGGGCCATGCAGAACACGAGGGACACGGGCGTGAGCTCGAGCGTGATGTTCCAAGGTGCTCAGCGACAGGACGGAGAGGAAATGAGGCCAGGATACAGAGGGGGGAAATGTGAGAAGCAGTGCGGATATTATGTATTATATTGTAGGTATGTGGATAGGTCGTTTTTGATAGAAAAATACAGTATCAAATGGTACGATACGGTACTATATATTCTTGAGGCAATGGTCATCTAACCCTGAACTATTGTTGCTTGTGTCTGTTTCTCTGTGACAATTCGTGGCTCTCGGGTTGTATGCGTATGTATGTTGGGGTGGTAGATTTTGTGGTAGGTGTAGGAAGGTCGTCGGAGTAGACGGATCTAGAGGCGATTCGATTCGTCCTTGGCCCGAGTACTTATTAATACTTGCACTTAAGCGTGTCGACCAGTTCGCCTCGGCAGCATCGGATGCTTGGCGCCGTTGCTGAGTCAACTGGCGCGCCATCATCCAACTACATCCGACGTGGTTGTCCGACAGCCATCGTCGATTTTGCGATGTAATGCAGCATACGGCTATGCTCTTGTTCCGCGCTCTCATAATGGAGGACTCATGCATAACGCAGCCTTTGATTCCGCCGGCGACAGGCGAGAAGCCTTTTGCGCAAACCCATTGGGTTACTGCGCTTTCCAAAGAATCCAGGCTCAATGTACACCAAACTCTTCGCTTGAACTGGATCCGAATACTGCGGCAACTATAGTCCTCATTCTTTATTATTGGCCTGGATGGTTTGGTCATACTAGCTCCAGAGCAATGGACCCATGCATTCTATACCCTGCCATCAACAGTAGGGTGCCGGAACAACACCAACGTCAAGTTTTCTAGAATAGGTGTAATTTTTGTAAAATATATACAAATCCCTTACAAGAAACTAATTACAGCAAGTTTTAAGACGTGCAGCGTGCGCGCTGTGGAGCT